CATTGGTCCCAGCGATCGCCTTCCCGTCTTCTTCTATATATATATATATATATATATATATATTTTAAAGGTAATACCGACAAAGACAATGGAGACCGGAATGGCCATTTCTGGCTTATTAGCCGTCATCAGCCAGTCATACCCAACCCCAAGTGTAGATCACTTGAGATTCGAACCCGGGATCTTTGGTCATGGAGTTGAACGCTCTACCATTGAGCCACGGGCCCGTTGTCCTGTCGGTTGTGATCGGGAATATTAATTATGATAGTGGGCGCTCACCGATCAGGTTACGGAACATGCTCGTTCCGTTGTGCCTTGGGTATTACCTTTCCAACATATATCACTAGTCGCTGTGCGACTGCCTGCGAGGGTTCAAGTATGAGCCCCAATGCACAACGGAACGAGCATGTTCCGTAACCTGATCGGTGAGCGCCCACTATCATAATTAATATATATATATATATATGCATGTCAAGTGGGCGTTTGACCCTCACTGTTGTGGTTAGGATCGCACTCGGTTCCATTCTGTCCGCCAACCAGCTTGCTACTGGCGACAACGAACGCTGTGTCATAGCGCTTACCGGTCGTTCTTACAGAATTCACTCGTTCTGTTGTGCCTTACGGGCGCTCCCTCTCTCGAGCTGAACCAGCTGCCGCACGGCGGCGCATGATATAGGCAGAATGGTATTACCGACAAAGACGAGGGAGACTGGAATGGCCATTTCTGGCTTATTAGCCGTCGTCAGAAGTCATACCTGTAAGGCACAACGGAAAAAATGAGTTCCATATGAATCATCGGTTAGCATCCCTCTACCATTGTATGTTCTCGATCGAAACCGACAGAACAACGGGTCTGTGGTCCAGTGGTTAGAGGCGTCGACTTCTAATTAACGGGTCACGAGTTCCAGCCTCGGGTGTTCCACACTTCGGGGTTGGGTATGACTGGCTGACGACGGCGAATAAGCCAGAAACGGCTGTAGGGAGGTCAGCTTCGCGAACGCGAGACAAGGTCAATTTCTAAGTCGACGCAGGCACGATAATCCAGGAAAAGAACTGTTTAGGACTTAATAACGCACTTTTCGCACTTAAAACGAAAAGAAGTGGAAGAAGAGGAAAAAAATGAAGAGGTGGTGGTGGTGGTGGTGGTGGTGGTGGTGGTGGTGGTGGTGGTGGTGGTGGTGATGGAGAGGATTTTCCGTCCTGCAATTAAAACAGAAAGCTGAACGCCGCTCATGTGACGTTGAAAATTCCAGATCTCAGCGTGTAGATCGCGAGCTCTGGGCCCATTGGTAAAGCCCTGATTCCAACCTCGAGACTGCCCTTTCTGGGCTGGGATGTCACCGATTCACGACTGCAAGCAAGTCAGGAATGGTCGTTGCAGTCAGTACTCTTTTTAGTGATAGTCCCCTTTCCTCTCTCAAGCCACCTCCGGCCTTGATGCACAACACACCTTTTGGTCTGTGCGCATAGCTCTTCCTAATTGTGTCCCATGGGCCACTCTCCAGTGTGCGGTGATCTGGCGTCACAACACACGTCCCAACTTCTCCATTCTATAGCTCGCTTTTTTCCACACACGTCACACGGACGAACAGAAATCGCCAATGCTGTTAGTCGTGTTCTTATCAAGCAGCACCATCACTCTAGGCGAGCCGGCTTTTGCGCAAGCCGGTGTGCACGGCGCAGTCAATACGTTAGCACTCAAGGGTGTGATAAGCGATGATGATGATGATGAGGGTGGCGGTGGTGGTGCGCCCCTGCCCTAGCTTCGGTATTCTTGGCTGAGCACTCAGTTGGCAGTGCGCTGGGTGAAGTACCTGTAACTGAAACCTGGTAGGGTGTGTCACGATTACAAATGGCGTCACAATTTCCTCCCCCTCTCTTGTAATTCGCCCACGCCTGCGGGAAGACGAATTCAACGAGGCGGTGGTTCAAGCAGTTAGGCCTTGGTGTGTGTGCGTGTTTTCGTGTAGGGGTGTCCAGCAGTGGGTTCACGTGATGGTCGTAATAGGTCGCCCACTTGTTTGCAGGGGTAGACTACGCCTAGCGTCCACTTTTTGGCACTCAACTCTCGCATGTGGTTCCCCGAAGCTATGATCTGCCCAGCGGCCACAACCCAGTAACCGCTTCGATCGGCGGGCTCAACCAGGTGAGGGTGTCCGTGTACGCATCTCCGCACCCGGT